AGTCCAGACCTAATCCCAATTGAGATGTTGTTGCAGGACTTGAAATGAGAAGTTCATGCTTGAAAACCCACAATTGTTGCTGAGTTAAAGCCATTCTGCATGGAAGAGTGGGCCACAATTCCTCCACAGCGATGTGAGAGACTGATCAACAACTACAGGAAATATTTGGCTAGAGTAATTGCAGCTAAAGGTGGCACAACCAGTTATTGAGTGTAACGGGGCAATTACTTTTCACACAGGGGCATTGGGTGTTGCATAATTTTGTTTATGAAATAAGTACAGTGGGGAAAAAAAGTATTTAGTCAGCCACCAATTGTGCAAGTTCTCCCACTTAAAAAGATGAGAGAGGCCTGTAATTTTCATCATAGGTACACGTCAACTATGACAGACAAAATGAGAAGAAAAAAAATCCAGAAAATCACATTGTAGGATTTTTAATGAATTTATTTGCAAATTATGGTGGAAAATAAGTATTTGGTCAATAACAAAAGTGTCTCAATACTTTGTTATGTACCCTTTGTTGGCAATGACACAGGTCAAACGTTTTCAGTAAGTCTTCACAAGGTTTTCACACACTGTTGCTGGTATTTTGGCCCATTCCTCCATGCAGATCTCCTCTAGAGCAGTGAAGTTTTGGGGCTGTCGCTGGGAAACCGGACTTTCAACTCCCTCCAAAGATTTTCTATGGGGTTGAGATCTGGAGACTGGCTAAACCACTCCAGGACCTTGAAATGCTTCTTATGAAACCACTCCTTCGTTGCCCGGGCGGTGTGTTTGGGATCATTGTCATGCTGAAAGACCCAGCCACGTTTCATCTTCAATGCCCTTGCTGATGAAAGGAGGTTTTCACTCAAAATCTCACGATACATGGCCCCATTCATTCTTTCCTTTACACGGATCAGTCGTCCTGGTCCCTTTGCAGAAAAACAGCCCCAAAGCATGATGTTTCCACCCCCATGCTTCACAGTAGGTATGGTGTTCTTTGGATGCAACTCAGCATTCTTTGTCCTCCAAACACGACGAGTTGAGTTTTTACCAAAAAGTTCTATTTTGGTTTCATCTGACCATATTACATTCTCCCAATCCTCTTCTGGATCATCCAAATGCACTCTAGCAAACTTCAGACGGGCCTGGACATGTACTGGCTTAAGTAGGGGGACACGTCTTGCACTGCAGGATTTGAGTCCCTGGCGGCGTAGTGTGTTACTGATGGTAGGCTTTGTTACTTTGGTCCCAGCTCTCTGCAGGTCATTCACTAGGTCCCCCCGTGTGGTTCTGGGATTTTTGCTCACCGTTCTTGTGATCATTTTGACCCCAAGGGGTGAGATCTTGCGTGGAGCCCCAGATCAAGGAAGATTATCAGTGGTCTTGTATGTCTTCCATTTCCTAATAATTGCTCCCACAGTTGATTTCTTCAAACCAAGCTGCTTACCTATTATAGATTCAGTCTTCCCAGCCTGGTGCAGGTCTACAATTTTGTTTCTGGTGTCCTTTGACAGCTCTTTGGTCTTGGCCATAGTGGAGTTTGGAGTGTGACTGTTTGAGGTTGTGGACAGGTGTCTTTTATACTGATGACAAGTTCAAACAGGTGCCATTAATACAGGTAACGAGTGGAGGACAGAGGAGCCTCTTAAAGAAGAAGTTACAGGTCTGTGAGAGCCAGAAATCTTGCTTGTTTGTAGGTGACCAAATACTTATTTTCCACCATAATTTGCAAATAAATTCATTAAAAATCCTACAATGTGATTTATTTTCTCAATTTGTCTGTCATAGTTGACGTGTACCTATGATGAAAATTACAGGCCTCTCTCATCTTTTTAAGTGGGAGAACTTGCACAATTGGTGGCTGACTAAATACTTTTTCCCCCACTGTATATAATTGTTGTGTTATTTGAACACTCAGATTCCCTTTATCTAATATTAGGTTTTGGTTGAATATCTGATAACATTCAGTATCAAAAATATGCAAAAGTAGAGAAAATTAGAAAGGGGGCAACAACAAAAAATCACAGTGCTGTATATTAACCCCCGCTGTACAAAACCAAATGCCAGCCTAGTAGCATGGGGAAATATTGTCTAGATGCTTTTTTCCAGGGGAGGTGAAGTTTATTAATGCCTGGCAGGGCTGTGGGCAGTGGATATGTGAATGGAACGTTTATCAGGCATTACTTGCAGGGCAAACTTAAATCAGTTTTAACCTCATTTCTACCAGCATGTCACAAAAAACTCTAGACTACCTTTACTCCACACACAGCGACGCATACAAAGCTCTCCCTCGCCCTCAATTTGGCAAATCTGACCACAATTCTATCCTCCTGATTCCTGCTTACAAGCAAAAACTAAAGCACAACTCCAACACTATCAAGTTTGCTGACGACACAACGGTGGAAGGCCTGATCACCGACAACGATGAGACAGCCTATAGGGAGGAGGTCAGAGACCTGGCAGTGTGGTGCCAGGACAACAACCTCTCCCTCAATGTGAGCAAGACAAAGGAGATGATCGTGGACTACAGGAAAAGGAGGGCCGAACACGCCCCCATTCACATCGACAGTGCTCTAGTGGAGCGGGTCGAGAGTTTCAAGTTCCTTGGTGTCCACATCACCAACAAACTATCATGGTCAAAACACACCAAGAAAGTAATGAAGAGGGCATGACAACGCCTTTTCCCCCTCAGGACAATGAAAATATTTGGCATGGGTCCCCAGATCCTCAAAACGTTCTACAGCTGCACCATCGAGAGCATCCTGACCGGTTGCATCACCGCATCCTGACCGTAAGGAGCTACAGAAGGTAGTGCATACGGCCCAGTATATCACTGTGGCCAAGCTTCCTGCCATCCATTACCTATATATGTAGCGGGTGATGTCGGACGGAGTCAGACGCAGGAGAGTAAATCACGGAATAAATGGTTTAATCAATAAACAGAGGTTGAGAGTAGAAGAAGTTCAGGAGCAAAAAAAAATATATATATATATATATATATATATATATATATATATATATAGAATTATTGTAAAATTAACTCTGTCCATAAGGTGTAGATAGTAAGTATAGACCGGAAGTAGAGGCCTGGGCGTTGTTGTTCACTAATTTACTCCAAGTAGGAAAGGATGGTGGGGTTGAAAAGTAATAAAGGGGAATATATATATAAAAAAATTTAAAAAACATGGGGGATTGGAAGTGATGCAGACAATTACATTGATAGAAGATACAATCTATCTGCAATATTAAGCTGATCCATTCCCCCCCCCAAAATAAATAAAAATAAATAAAAAATAAATAAGAAATAAAATAAAATAAACAGAGGAACGCAGCAATGCGTAATACACACCGATGCGGACAAATGGTGTACTGGGGAAAATAAGGCACATGGGTGAACAACCCAGTGAGACACAATACAATCGAGCTCCACCGAGCTATAATCCACTTTACAATAAACAATCACACACAAAGACAAGCGGGCAGAGGGAACACTTATGCAGGTACTGATGAGGGGATATGAACCAGGTGTGTGTAATAAACAAAACAAAACAAATGGAATGATGAGATGAGGAGCAGCAGTGGCTAGAAGGCCGGTTACAACGAACGCTGAAGCCTGCCCGAACAAGGAGAGGAGGCAGCTTCGGAGGAAGTTGTGACAGTACCCCGCCCTTGACACGCTGCTCCAGCAGCGCGCCGACACTGGCCTCAGGGACGGCCAGGAGGACAAGGAGCAGGGCGAGCCGGATGGCAACGGTGCAAATCCTGCAACAGGGGTACACTCAACGAGGTACTGAAGGCCTCCCACCCGACGACTCGAATCCAGGATGGAACGGACGGAGTATGCCGGGGGCAGAGGAACCTCCCGCATCTCAGACTCCTGGAGCAGACCAGCCACCACCGGCCGAGGAGAGACACATGGAAGAGGGGTTAATACAATAATCTGGAGGGAGTAGTAACCTATAGGTAACCTCGTTTATTTTCCTCAGGACTTTGAACGGCCCCACAGACCGCGGGCTCAGCTTCTGGCAGGGCAGGCAGAGATGCAGATTCCGCGTCGAGTGCCAGACCCGATCACCCGGTACAAAGACCGGGGCCTCACACGCCGCGCTGGAGATGGGCGTGAGCAGCGTTCCACGTCTCCTCTGCATGTCGAAACCAGTTATCCACCGCACGAGCTTTAGTCTGGCTCTGATGCCGTGGTGCCAGAACCAGCTAATAACCTAAAACACATTGAAATGGCGTGAGGTTAGTGGAGGAGTGGCAGATAGAGTTCTGGGCATATTCGGCCCATGGCAAGAACACCGACCACTCCCCCGGCCGGTCCTGGCAGTAGGACCGCAGGAACCTACCCACATCTTGATTCACCCATTCCACCTGCCCATTAGACTCGGGGTGAAACCCAGAGGTCAGTCTGACCGAGACCCTCAGACGTTCCATGACCGCCTTCCAGACCCTGGATGTAAACTGGGGACCCCGGTCAGACACTATGTCCTCTGGCACCCCGTAGTGCCGGAAGACGTGTGTAAACAGGGCCACCACAGTCTGCATGGCTTTGGGGAGACCGGGCAGAGGAAGGAGGCGGCAGGCTTTTGAAAAGCAGTCCACAACGACCAGGATGGTGGTGTTACCTTGAAAATAGGCTACAATATAACCCTTGCTTGGTCACAGTTGTAGCTCATCAGCTGCCCAATAAATATGTTAATAGTCAACGTTGTTGTGACTGACTGAGTGGGTGTCAACTGTCACTATTTTTTGGCTATGTTGTTCACAGTGATGTCTATCCGTGATAATTTTTTTCTATCTCAAATATAAGATTGCATTTATTTTCTACTTTTTATTCCAGACTTCTCACTCCCCAGTGGAAACACCCTCTAGAGGTAAGGGCGTCTCTAGTTCCTTAAATTAAAAATTTTGTCAGCTGTCAATCAACCTAAGTCTGAGTGATAGTTCATTGGTCAACTCTTGTTGCAGTGATGCTGTTCCAGGAAGTTTTGGGGCGGAGTTTGTGTCGTTCGATGGAGCGATTGGTGGAGGTGGAGCAGGAGTACCCTGGAGGGGTGGAATATATTTTTAGCCCTGCCTGTATGCCCCTGTGGCAATGCGCTGGTTGCTGTGGAGACGAGAACCTGGAGTGCCACCCCACCCTCACACGTAACGGCACCATGCAGGTGGGGGTCACTTTGTGTCAGGAGGCCACAGATTTCCTTGGGCTACCCTCTTCCAACCTAAAATAGATATATATGTTCCTGTAAAACATCCAATGCCGGTCCAAACCTTTGAGTGCATCGTCTTCTTCACCTCACCTCAATGCATGTGTTTGTGTTTTCCTCTGTGTGTTTGTGTGTGTGTCAGTTGATGAGGACAACTCTGACTGAGCGGACAGGGCAGTATGTGGAGCTGACGTTTGTAGAGCATCAGACCTGTGAGTGCAGGTAATAAAGCCTAATATCATCTGACCTGTAATGCTATCTAAGTCATTCAAATATGAACAGCCCACGTTAACATGTGTAGATTAAGAAACAAGGTTCATGAAATCAATAATTTGCTAGTAACAGATGACATTCATATTCTTACTATCTCTTAAACTCACTTAGATAATACCTTTGATGATACAGTGGTAGTCAACCTACCAGGGTAGTTAAAAACAGCACAGGAATGAAATCATCAACATGTATTGATCACATCTTTACTAATGCTGCAGAAATTAGCTTGAAAGCAGTATCCAGATCCATCGGATGTAGTGATCACAATATAGTCTAGGAAAACCAAAGTTCCAAAGGCTGGGCCTAATATATTGTATAAGAGGTCATACAATAAGTTTTGTAGTGATTCCTATGTTGTTGATGTAAATAATATTTGTTGGTACGTGGTGTGTAATGAGGAGCAAACAGACACTGCACTTGAAACATTTATGAAATTGCTTATTCCAGTTACTAATAAGCATGCACCCTTTAAGAAAATGACTGCAAAAACGGTTAAATCCCAGTGGATTGATGAGGAATATTATGGTTGAGAGGGATGAGGCAAAAGTCTGGCTACACAATCGATTGGCAAACATATTGCAAATTGAGAAATCATGTGACTAAACTGAATAAAAAGAAGAAGAAAAATAATCTACACTATGAATCAAAGATAAATGACATAAAGAATGATAGTAAAACTCTTTGGAGAACCTTAAATGAAATGTTGGGAAAAAAGGCAAACTCAGCTCCATCATTCATTGAATCAGATGGCTTATTCATCACAAAACTAACTGATATTGCCAACTACTTTAATGATTTTTTCATTGGCAAGATTAGCAAACTTAGGCATGACATGCCAGCAACAAACGCTTACACTACACATCCAAGTATATCTGACCAAATTATGAAAGACAAGCATTGTAATTTTGAATTCCGTAAAGTGAGTGTGGAGGAGTATTGTTGTCTATCAACAATGACAAGCCACCGGGGTCTGACAACTTGGATGGAAAATTACTGTGGATAATAGCAGACGATATTGCCACAAATTGACAACAAACTTTCAGCATACTTATAGGGAAGGACATTCATCAAGCACAGCACTTACACAAATGACTGATGATTGTCTGAGAGAAATTGATGATAAAAATATTGTGGGGGCTGTTTTGCTAGACTTCAGCGCAGCGTTTGACATTATCAATCATAATCTGCTGTTGGAAAAACGTATGAGTTATGGCTTTACACCCCCTGCTATATTGTGGATAAAGAGTTACCTGTCTAACAGAACGCAGAGGGTGTTCTTTAATGGAAGCCTCTCCAACATAATCCAGATAGAATCAGGAATTCCCCAGGGCAGCAGTCTAGGCCCCTTACTTTTTTTCAATCTTTACTAATGACATGGCTTTGAGTAAAGCCAGAGTGTATATGTATGCGGATGACTCAACACTATACATGTCAGCTACTACAGCGACTGAAATGACTGCAACACTTAACAAAGAGGTGTAGTTAGTTTCAGAGTGGGTGGCAAGGAATACGTTTGTCATAAATATCTCTAAAACTGAAAGCATTGTATTTGGGACAAATCATTCACTAAACCCTAAACCTCAACTAAATATTGTAATAAATAATGTGGAAATTGAGCAAGTTGTGGTGACTAAACTGCTTGGAGTAACCCTGGATAGCAAATAGAAATCCAATATGGATGGTGTTAAGAGATAGATGGGAGGTGTTGAATGGAGCTGAAGGATGGGACTAATAACAACAACTAATAACAACAAGATAACTAATGTAAAGCGTACTGTGTCCATAATAAGTACAGTGAGGGAAAAAAGTATTTGATCCCCTGCTAATTTTGTACGTTTGACCAATGACAAAGAAATGATCAGTCTATAATTTTAATGGTAGGTTTATTTGAACAGTGAGAGACAGAATAACAACAAATAAATCCAGAAAAACGCATGTAAAAAATGTTATAAATTGATTTGCATTTTAATGAGAGAAATAAGTATTTGACCCCCTCTCAATCAGAAAGATTTTTCTGGCTCCCAGGTGTCTTTTATACAGGTAATGAGCTGAGATTAGGAGCACACTCTTAAGCAATCAATCAATCACATTCCAAACTCTCCACCATGGCCAAGACCAAAGAGCTTTCCAAGGATGTCAGGGACAAGATTGTAGACCTACACAAGGCTGGAATGGGCTACAAGACCATCGCCAAGCAGTTGGTGCGATTATTCGCAAATGGAAGAAACACAAAATAACTGTCAATCTCCCTTAGCCTGGGGCTCCATGCAGGATCTCACCTCGTGGAGTTGCAATGATCATGAGAACGGTGAGGAATCAGCCCAGAACTACACGGGAGGATCTTGTCAATGATCTCAGGACAGCTCGGACCATAGTCACCAAGAAAACAATTGGTAACACACTACGCCGTGAAGGAATGAAATCCTGCAGCGCCCGCAAGGTCCCCCTGCTCAAGAAAGCACATATACAGGTCCGTCTGAAGTTTGCCAATGAACATCTGAATGATTCAGAGGAGAACTGGGTGAAAGTGTTGTGGTCAGATGAGACCAAAATCGAGCTCTTTGGCATCAACTCAACTCGCCGTGTTTGGAGGAGGAGGAATGCTGCCTATGACCCCAAGAACACCATCCCCACCATCAAACATGGAGGTGGAAACATTATGCTTTGGGGGTGTTTTTATGCTAAGGGAAACTTCACCGCATCAAAGGGACGATGGACGGGGCCATGTACCGTCAAATCTTGGGTGAGAACCTCCTTCCCTCAGCCAGGGCATTGAAAATGGGTCGTGGATGGGTATTCCAGCATGACAAAATCCACGGCCAAGGCAACAAAGGAGTGGCTCAAGAAGAAGCACATTAAGGTCCTGTAGTGACCTAGCCAGTCTCCAGACCTTAATCCCATAGAAAATCTGTGGAGGGAGCTGAAGGTTCGAGTTGCCAAACGTCAGCCTCAAAACCTTAATGACTTGGAGAAGATCTGCAAAGAGGAGTGGGACAAAATCCCTCCTGATATGTGTGCAAACCTGGTGGCTAACTACAAGAAACGTCTGACCTCTGTGATTGCCAACAAAGGTTTTGCCACCAAGTACTGTCATGTTTTGCAGAGGGGTCAAATATTTATTTCCCTCATTAAAATGCAAATCAATTTATAACATTTTTGACATGCGTTTTTCTGGATTTTTTTGTTGTTATTCTGTCTCTCACTGTTTAAATAAACCTACCATTAAAATTATAGACTGATCATGTCCTTGTCAGTGGGCAAACGTACAAAATCAACAGGGGATCAAATACTCTTTCCCCTCACTGTATCTGGCAGGCTAGCTAATTCACAACTCACAAAAAAAGACAACGTACTTGCCTTAAATAGCTAGAAATTGATGTCTTTGCAAGTTTTGCCTCTACTGGTGCTCCTTCTGCGAATCAACTTTTTTTCATGATAAGAAACATATGTCATTAATAATTTCCTTGTTTATTGTAACATTTTCTCTGTGATTTTGTTTAGGGGGAGGGGAAGCAATATAAAAGAACAAATCATTGTGCAAAGCTAATTTCCCCCTTGATTATGAAATTGTTGAGCTGGGAGATCATGTGTTTGTTGTCAAAGATACTGATAACTGCTGCAATTATTACGAAGATACAAAGACGAGGTTATGTGCAGCAATCGGCTGCAATGCTGTCAAGATGAAGGGAGGGATTTTTTTCTTCCAGTTTCCAACTGATGTTGAAAGGTATGTAATAAATAATGCTTAGATGCATTTGGAGTAATTATTGCATGGTGAGGCACACGTCGTTGGCTGTGTAATCATTACTGTGCTGTATCCACGGCTACCCATCGAATCAATCACCAAAGCAATGATCACTGATAGATAAAACATGCTAGCTACCAGTAATGAAACAAAACTCTAGCTGTGTTTAACACAACTAGCATGAGGCAGCATGGCTAGCTAACGTTAGTTTACCAATGTGTCCAGCTATATTACATCCAAGGCTATCCCAGGGTATACACAATCAATGTTGTAGAACACCATTAAGTTCCTCTTAAGTTATGTAAAACATTGTATAGGCAACTACTTATGTTCTGTTGCCCTATGATCAGATTAAGTCAGAATACCATAAAATATAGTCTACTGTAATTATATGCATCTTCACAAAATAGACAAAACTCAAAAGGTTGTACATTTATTAAATGCCTGTTAACATGGTGAAAAATCTAGAACACATAGAAACCATGAAAGTAGAGCATTTGATCACAACCTGGAAGAACACATTGCACATGCATCCCCTCAATAGGAAAATGGTACAAAAAAGAAAGACATACACCATGTGTAGCATTAGAGCGACGCTTCAAAAGATCTATCAGGTTTAAGAGGGCATCAACTGAAAATGTTTTATAGGATATGATAAAGTGTGGTTCTTTATTCTAATGTTTCATAGGACAGGATAAAGTGTGGGACTTTATTCTATAATATGTTCTCTGTTATTGGGGGTGTTGCTAATCAGGCAATGGTTGTCATGGTGGTGTCTCACAGAGAGGAATGTGTCAGTTTTGATTGAAGAGAAGGAGTGTGACCTAGACCCCAGAAGTCTGCAGACCACAGGGATTGAGTCCATATACACTACTAAATATAGCAGGACACGATCGGTAATAATGTAAGGTCCTTATTTCCTGTCTTTCTTATGACTTATGAAGTCTACGTCACACTCCTCTTACACATACAGAGAGAAAAAAGACATGGCTGCTGTTTAAATGAACCGTAGAGTACTATTAAAAACAATCAGGTTGAATAACAGGGAGAGAGGAATATAATCATAAATTATTATCTACAAACTACAATATACTACCACAGATGTTATACCAACCACTACACTACTAAATGAACTATAAAACAGGAGACCTTAAGTATAGACCAACATCCAGCAGAGGTGAGAAAGAGAACAGGAGACCATGAACATA